CTCCCACTACCATGACTCGAATTTGACATTGCTTTTATTTTTACTCTGAGGCATTAGTGATACTTGTTTATTGAAAAACTTGATGGATTGACGTAGGTAAGGTCCTTTTGATCTGATGATTTGAACTAACTCCTTTATTTCTTATAACAATCTGGTGGGTTTGTTGTGATTTGTTCTTTTAATTGCTAGTCACAGAAACTGTCGGCCATAACATTGTTTCACAATCCAATGCTATAGGACTAAATCTTGGTATTACTATATAAGTGCTGGTGCATTGATGTGATGAAGTTGTGAGATCTTGGGCTCTCCTCCCTTGCAGGCGTTTGTAAAATGTACGAAGAGCATCTGAAGAGAATGAACCCCAACAGTCCCTCCATTACATACGACATCAGCCAGTTGTTTGACTTTATTGATGATCTGGCGGACCTCAGCTGTCTTGTGTAAGTATCAGCCACCGTTGCACGGAACTGAATCTTTTTGTCTGTGTATTTAAGGTGATTTATAGCACTGGAAGCTCACTAGGGCTTGGAACTGATCTTTGCATTTGAGTGCTATGTAGTATTTATATTTCATCTACGTACATGTAAGTTATAAATCAAGTTGTCGGCATGGTCATAAGATTAAAGGCACAGAAATATCTTAAGAAATTGGCTAGTTGATGCAGTTAGTATATGGAGAGAATACCAATTCAAATTTCAAACTAAGTTCAATTTTTGCTAAGTAGCATTTTCTTATCCCTCCACTGTATTAAATAACGTTGGAATGATTATTTTAGACCCTTACTGTCTATCCTCAGATCTGATTAAAGTTTTTTTTCTAACGTGTTATAATAACTTGGGTTGGTAATCTTTATCACTGCTACCACAAAAGAACGTAATACAGAGTTATCTCTCAGCATGAGTAGATGGGAGGCTAAGTGAAAGTAGACCTGACTTTGCAGACCTCTCTTTCAAGGCACCTCTGGGTAGGCCTGAGCAGTCAGGTTTGGGGATACAAATCAGTTGCTTAACTGTCAACCACACCCATGGACTCCTGGGTTAATTATGAAGAGAGCTGAATTGGTAAGTTTGTGTCTTAAAAAGGTGGGAAATTCTCCCGTATGGCTTATTACATGCTGAATTTTGCGGCTTCTTACATTCCCAGATTATTGAAGTTCATTACTTCATGAAACTGTAGGATTTTTAAAGTATCTTTTTGTTCTGGGCATATTTGTTCTAGGAAATTGTTGCACCTGGATTTAAGAACTGGCTAGATATTTCAGTTAACACAGAATAAGATTTTAACACAGGTGGTGGGATAAAACAAGGCCCAATGACACTGCGCTAGCTCTGGGCTGCTAACTGAAAGGCCAGTCGTTTGAACCCATCGGCTGCTCTTGGGGAGGATGTGGCCGTCTGCTTCCATGAGGTTGCAGCCTTGGGACCTCTGCTGCAAATTCTCGGTCCCTGAGGGCTCTTAGGAATCAGAATCGACTTAATGGAAATGGGCTGTTGGGGGTTTTTGTTTTAACATGTGACAGTATCCTCGATTCATTCTTTAATTGTGGGTTTTGTTTTATAAAATAGGCGGCTTTGTGATTTTATAAAAATCACCCATGGAGACATACAGTATCTAACCCCACCCAATGCTTTGGGATGTGGTGTTTGTTCCTAATATTAAATTACTTAAAGTGAGAATCTTGTTTTACTCATCTCAGGAGACACTCACTGATTAGGACATAACAGTAAGTTGTCGCTGTTAGAATTAAACATAGTTTGGATCCTGGCTCTACCGTCATGCGCTCGTTCCCTTGGGCCTGTTTGCTTGGTGTAACGAAGTCTCTCTTTCCTCATTTGTAAAGTTTGATGAGCTCTGCCTCACTGGACCTTGGGATCCAGTGCTTGCCTGGCAGACACACAGCAGGACCTGAGTTTTGAACTAGATTGACAGGTCCGAGCGGGGTTTTCGTTTTCATCGGTTCTTTAAGATTATGTTATGAAGAGAAAGACATGACGGTCAAATTCTCTGAGGTGAACTGAACCATGAAGAGCGGTCAGTCTGTCTGTTTTGAAAGGAGTCGTGGTGGTGTAGTGGTTAGGAGTTGAGCTGCGATCCACAGGGTCGGCAGTGGCAGTTCGGAAACCACCACCAGTTAGGCAGGAGAAAGACTGGGCTGCTCCTCCCATGACCAGGCTCAGAAACCCACAGGTGGTTAGGAAGTGAACATTGACTCTGGCGTGAGTTGGGTTTTGGTTTTTGGTGTGTTTTGACACTGAAAATTGCACACATGCCAAAATACATACAAGTATAATGGCAGAACATAGCCTTTCTAGCTTTATGCCACACTTTATATTATTTCAGTAGTGTAGATAAGAGACTCATGCGGCTGTGTAGTTCTTAATGGTCTTTATGAAAGACTGGATACTGTAATTGTTATTGGTTATGTATCTGCCGCAAATGGAGTGTTTAGAACCATTTTTTTCTACATTGGTCCATCCCGTTTTCTTATTTGAATATATGTCTAAATTGGAATTTGTTCACATTTTTATATTCATATGTATGTGTGCATATTTGTGTGTGTACACATATATCTATTATACACGTGTATATGACTAGAATGATGGATTTTTTTAATTTACATGTTCTCTCCTTGCTGGCTGAAGAGCCAGCCCTGCTGGTGTCACTGCTTAGGCCCATCGTAACAGTAGCTGAAAGATTCTTCTCTTCCAAAAGCTAGAGTAGTAATTTGTCTCCTTTTCAGTGCCATTAACAACCATCAATACACAGCCTTCCATAAAGAGGAAATTATGAGTATTTCATGGGTTGGAAACAAACATACAAACTGATAGACCCCTGTATGTTCACCAGCCAGCAGGATTGTGTTGGTGATAACATCTAATTTGGGCTGTTCTGCCCAGATATTGTACTCCCAAAAAACCCAAACTCGGCTACCATTGAGTTTGGTGTGACTTACAGTGACCCCAGATAGTGTAGTACAGTTCTGAGGAATTCTGTTCCTTTGAAAATTCGCATCTTCCGTTGTTCATCAGTGACCATTGCAGTCTGTTCTGCTTTACCGTAAAGTATTTGATTTCATTTAATTGGGAAGCATGAACAGAGAATATTAAAAGGAAATTTATTAACTTTTAGGATACTTCTCACTTTATAACTAAAGGACTCCTCCCTCTCTTCTCGCCCTCCCCCATGTTAAACATTCTGTAAAATGAAGCGTGTATACATTTTTAATAAGTGAAACTCTAGTCTTACAATTGGTGAGAAAGAATGTAGTATCGATGGTGCTAAACCATTCCCGCTTTGAGTATGTTTCCTTATTACCATTTGTATTTATGTGAGATTGTGCTGAGAAATTAAAATTCCAGTTAAAAGAAGACAGTAGCAAATCCAATCATTTGCTTCTTCTTTAGTTGAATTACACGCCAGACCTCTAGGATGCAGTGCACCATTTCCACCAGGTGGTACACGTGGCTGTGAAATGCTGGTTATTCTTTCTTTTGAAAACTGGTGGGTGGGTGTGAGTGTGTGTTTTAGCTTTCATTTGGTCTCTGAAAATTTATTGCGTAAGGAGGTAGATTTCAAGTTTGAGATCGGGTTGGATGTGTTCTCCCTCTTTTTTTGATTCCCCCAAAGACCCCTTATAATGGCTGCTAACCGATGCCTGCCCTCAACCCTCCTGAAGGCACTTGGAGTTCTGCTCTTGCTCAACCTGGCCATCCTGACTCTCCTCTTTTGAAATTTTTTACCTTTAAAATTTGTCTTCTGATCATTCTAGCATTAGTTAAGAGGGAGTTACAGGTGATAAGATTTCCTTTTCTCATACTTCATGGTGAGAGAAATCTTTGTGCAAGCAATGCTTTTCTGTTTTATTGGTCTGAAATTCACGTGTACGCTATTTAGCAGTTCATAGTAAAAGGAGTTGTACAATCATAACCGCAATCCATTGTAGAACACTCTTTCTCCTTGTACTGTTAGCTCCCCATTTGCCCCCAACCTCCTTTGCCATGCCCTCAAGAAATCAAGAACCCAGTTACTGTCTATAGATTTACCTGTCCTGGATTTCATATCTATATATTTTCAAAATAATATAAAACACAGAAAAGCCTCAATAGAAAAGAAAGAAAATCATTAAAAGCTAGAACAAATTTAAAATGGGTCAAAATGGAATCAAATGGAAGGTGTTACGTTTTAACCCAGTTGCTCGTGTTCTACTTTCCAGCGTACTCTGCATGACAGCGAGACGGTTCACAGACTGGACTGTGGAGGCTCAATCATGCATCTTTCCCCTTTGCTTTTTTTCCCCTCCCTTTTACCTTAAAATAAATTTAGGTATGTGAAGGTCATATTAGTCTTTGGGTTTTGTTTTTAATCACAGAAAAGCTTACTGCCATCGATTAGATTCTGATTCCTAGTGACCCTACAGAACTGCCCCCATGGGTACCCAAGACTGTAATCCTCTTCCCAACAGTTTGAGTAGCATACAGTTCACATGTCATGTAATTCAATAGTTCTGTCACACCAAGAATAGTTGTACAGCCAGTCTTAGGACAAGATTGCAACTCGTAACAGGAATGGGAATAAGTCTTTCACTCTGAAAAGATTAACAAAACTAGCAAATGTAGGAGAAACACCCATGGTTTCTGGCCGTGTGTTGTCCAAAAAATCAACATTACGATCATTATAGGTTCCCAAGCTTATTTGGCCTGCTGCCCCCTTTTCAAAGGGGGGGGGGGGGGGGGCAACTATTAGTGTGCCCTCCCAGCAGTGAAAGACTTTTGAGCAGTATGGCCCATGATCCAGGAAAATGGGTGAATATCTGCTGTAGCGGTCCTGGGATCTCTCAGTGTCCTCCTCCACACCCCCAGGGCACACCATCACCTACTTCCAGAGATGGTGACATTTCTAGACCTTGCTTGTTTGTACTACAAGATTGTGTTTGGTATGCCAAAATTCACGTCACTTAATTGAGGGGGGTGTAATCCTCCCATAGCTTTTCAATCCACGCATGGCTATGTGCACATTTATGCTGACATTGTACTATGGGGGTATAAAACTTGACTGGAACCACTCTCACCTTGCTTATAACCTTTTTGTTCCTCAGTTACCGAGCTGATACCCAGACATACCAGCCTTACAACAAAGACTGGATTAAGGAGAAGATCTACGTGCTCCTTCGTCGGCAGGCGCAACAGGCTGGGAAATAGTTGAGTTGGAAGCATCTGGGGAGGGGGTGGGCCTGGAACACAGCCGTGGACAGTGTGCTGTAGTGGGGGGGTTGTATTATACTAGTCCTATGTCCATCGTATGAACACTGTAGCCAGGATTGAATGTGTTCCATGAAATGTGAGGATTTTGTTCAACCTGAACTTCCTGTTGATTCCATCACTCCCCCCACCTTTTCTTTTTTCTTTCTTTCTTTCTTTTTTTTTATACTTAAACATTTTTACGATGGCTTACAAGAAAACTGTTCCTTGTCGGTTAATGTTAGTTCCAAATCTTCCACATGTCCATATCCACTTTATAACCTTCACTGTATTAACCCTTCTGCAAAATAATAGTGGGGGTGGGGGTGGTAACAACAGTTACTTACATCCTCAAGATAAAAATCCTAGCAAAAAATAAATGCTCTTTAGTTATATTTTCCCCCTGTGTGTTTGTTTTTTTTTCTTTGTCTCTGAACATTGGATTTTCTTGCAAAGCACTGTCAGTTTCAGAACTAAGGCCTGCTACACAGGAGTTTGAAGAAAGTCCGCATATGTGCTAAAGACACTGCTGCAATGTCTGTGGCTAACGAGTTTTTGCCTTGTTATTCAACATGTCAGTGAGTCCCCTGAGGCTCCAGGTTTGTATCTACTGCTGAGGGACCTTTCCAGGAAGCTTCCAGTGCTAGCATATGTCAGTCAAGACAGCCAGGTTGATCCTGAGTATCCATCAAGTGCTTCTCTGGGAGGCTCCCATGCCTTTTGACCCACTCCTGTCTGGAAGCAGTAAGTGTGGGAGAAAGGCCACTGCAGTAGCCGTAATGTTCGCATTTGCTGTAAAGTGACCACACTGGTGAGCACACAGCACTGCACGTGTCCTTCATCACATGCACTGACATTCCCGCAGTCTGCTGTTGGAACACTTCACGAGGAACTTACGGTAATGGTAATGCGCCATGGTGGTGGTTGCTCGGTGCTCCAGAGTTGGCTCTGACTCAGGACCGTGTATCCAACCGAATGACACACTACCTGGTCATGTGCCAGCCTCACAATTGTTAGAGCCCACTGGGTCAGTCCATCTCGCTGGGGGGGCTTCTCTGTTGCTCTGACCCTCTACTAAGCATGATGTTCCCCGGGGATTGGTCCCTCGTGATAGCCCAACTAAAGTGAGACTTCTCTCACCATTCTTGCTTCTAGGGAACATCTGGCCGTACTTCCGAGACAGACCGGTTCATTCTGGCAGTCGATGGTACTTTGACCTCTCACTAACACCATAATTCAAAAGCATCCATTTTGTCTGGTTTTCCTTTTTTTTTTAAATCGTTTTATTAGGGGCTCATACGACTCCTCACAATCCATACATCAATTGTGTAAAGCACATTTGTACATTCAATGCCCTCGTCATTCTCAAAGCATTTGCTCTCCATTTAAGGGCCCGGCATCAGGTCCTCGTTTTTCCCCCTCCCTCACCGCTCCCTCGTGAGCCCTTGATAATTTATAAATCATTATTTTGTCATATCTTGCCTGGTTTTCCTTATTGTCTAGTTTTCATATGTATATAAGGCAGTTGAAAGTAGCATGACTTGGGTCAGGCAAAGTAACATTTTTGCTTTTCAACACTTTAAGAGGTCTTTGGCACCGGCAGATTTGCCCAATGTAAGGTGTCATTTGAATTCTTAACTGTTGCTTCCACGGGCATTGATTATGAATCCAAGTAAAATGAGATCCTAAACAATTTACGTCTTTTCTGCTTTATCTTGATGCTTACTGGTCCAGCTCTTTGTAGTCTTGGATCTTCATCAGTAATGCTTCAAAGGGCCCGTCCTGTTCAACAAGCAAGGTTGTACCAGCCTTTCTCTAATCCTGGCGTGTTCTTCATATAGTTGAGCTGCTAGGATGATTGCTCAGCATACTGATTGAACAAATACCATGAAAGGATGAGGCCTTGGCATTCACCATGCCTGATGTTAAACCAGTCAGCCTCCCTTGTCCTGCTCTGCCTCTTAGTCTATGTACAGGTTTTGTATGAATGTACGTGTTCTAGAATTCTCAATCCATAGTTTATTCTGAGCCACGCAGTCATGAGATTGGCACCTTTGGGGGAGACTTCCTGCCTGTTCTGATAGTCCCTGGGTTGTTCTCCCATGTGCTATGCACATGAGTGCCTCTGCTAATTTTCTTCGGTTAGTCCTTTGCAAAGCCAGCTTCTGAATAAGTACTTGCATGTACATACTTAGCTTTTCTGTAGAATAATTCTATTAATCGAATGTCATCATTATACCAAAGAATTCCTTAAAAATTTGGATATCTGACAAAACTATAGCATACTTAATATTTTAAAGTGTTCTCACGGGAAAAATATTACACCCAAGAGGCAGGTAGCCTTAGTTTTCATTTGGCTGAGCTTTTTGTAAAAGACAGTGCAGCTCTGGAAGGAGCAGGATCCCTGGAGGTTGGGTAGTTTCTGCTATCATGCTTCCAGGGGAAAATGGGCTCCTCCATACAACGGGAGCAGCTGGGTCTGTGCTCTAGAGTAAATGCTGGTTGGTGAGCACAAAAAGGGAGCAGTATTTTCCATCACAATTTCATGAGGAAGAATAACTGTACAAACACTTAAATCTGTGATCTCACTACTTCGGTGGTTTGGCTCGGTTACAACCGCTGTCCATGCTGTTAAGAGTTGGTTGGCATATTGTGTGGCCTTTCCCCAGCCACAAAACGTGATTTCTGCTTATGAAGTAATACACTGCTTCTAAAGGTAAAACCCACCTACCAGGCAACTGCAAAATCCCCAGTTCTCCAGTTCACCTTATTTTACATGCCTGCAAATTTCTAAAAATTTCTTGACAGTTGGCTGCTGCTTTTGCCCTGTAGTGTTTGAACTAAGGCCGCCACCAACTACCTCACTTTGTTTTCTGGCTTGAAATATTTCCAGCAATTCTAAATACCCAAGCCAATGAGTGCTCTTCCTTCCATTGTTTGGGGTGGGAGTAGTAGTCGGTACTGTTTCTGAGTGATTTAAGGCCAGAACAGGAGTGTTGACTGTCCAGTCCTCATTTCCAATAGAAGCCCGTCTTTTGTAAGGAGTCCATAGTCAAGAGTTTTCAGGTCCCTACAAGAGACATGCCCAAGTTCTAAGAGGCATGGCATATAGACGACACCACTATAGCTC